CCTCCACCCCCCAATTCTGAATTCTGGTGTCAGATGACAATGTGCTGCTGAGAAGCACAGGTAAATTCAGCCTGTTGGCAAGGAACAGTCTTTCTGCAGTGACTGTCTTCGATATGTAGGAATTCACTGTCTCTCTCTATAGCTGGCTAAATGCTTCAGCAATGAATTTAAATGTTAAAAAAAAATCACTGTTAGTACATTTTATAACTTTTCTTCAGTTATTGTTCGATCTTAGTTGATAATTTATTGTTTAAAAAGTGGTCACGGGTATGTTACTGGAAATCACCCTACAATAACAGCTAAGATATTCTAGATTATCCAGAATATTCAGGGCATCGGGGTCTCAGATCAAATCCAATGATTTTGAAAAGATGCCACTAAGGTCACCTTAGATATTTTTAAATTAATTCCCACATAATTAGAATACAGATGTGTAGGCTCCGACTCACGGATTCTTTTCTATAAAGTCGGCGGGCAAGTCGCTTGAAACTTTGAATACTTTTTTTTATTTAAAACTATCAGGGAAAGGATTATATTACAGAGTGGACCATAAACACCAATTTAATTGGTAGACACTTCTGGCTAGAATATCTGATTGATAAACATTAACGAAGAGCCCTGTCAGAGTAGATGACACAAATGATTACCCCAGGCTGGCATTTACTTACAAGGGACCGTGATCACTGGTATAGCTAGGAAGATTTTATTCACTGGATCAGAAACTTTGTTAGCGATTAAAATAGACTAGCGGCAAAGGAAAGCAAGTGATAATGTATTTCACATTTTTTAATTTTATTATTTATCAAAACCTTTTCAATCTACTGATTTTAATAGAGTCCTGATCATTCCTGATAGCTTTGAGAAAAACAGAACATCAATACCTGGAACAGTCTCTCTCATTTGCCCTGCCAGGAAGAGAATCAGCCACCTAATGAGCTGATAAGACTGATGAAGGGACCATCTCTCACTTCAGGGGAAGAGTCAAGGCAGACGTGGCAGGATGTCAGAAGCACGATCCCCTTAGGCGGCTGGGCAGGTGGAAGCAGCCGCTGAAGAGTATGTTCCAGTCGGTGGGAGGAGACACTGCTGGCCGAGTCACCTCCATATCAGCCCCCGTCGGAGAACCAGTTACCACCGAATCCGATTTTGCAGATCTGTTTCCTTCGAAGGCTCGCCTTCACTTTTCTTACGCTCTACCATCCGTGTCGTTCCCATTCTCCAAATTAAAACGCTCCTCACAGAGAAACAAACACTGTCCTTTACCTCACATTCTCCTATTGTTTTCTTATAGAAAAATATGGTGGGGACGGCTCACACCGCATGGAGCAAAACATCGTGGTGTTTCTCTAGCCCCCCTCCCCCTCAAGTGGAGAATAGACCTAAAATTTTCACTCTGCCAGGTACACTCCCTTTAACTATGTGGAATGAGCTGAGGCCCCGAGCCGATGCCAGTGTAGGTCAGGGACTGGCCCGTGGCCAGAGCACTCTTTCTAAGCGTATCTTGCATGGATGTAATTGGATTAAAGATAGAAGATCAACAGCATAAACCAGCCTCATCTCCCAGGAGAACTGCTTAAGTAGCTCAAGCTTCAGATGTAGAATGGGGACATCACCAAGATACGCTCGGTGGGCCCTGCGGCCTGGCTTTACAAAAATCCCCAAATAGCCTTGGAAACCAGAACAACTACATATAAAAGATCATTTCCTCGGACCCCACAAATACAGAGATCTAAACAGGAAAAGAAAGACGCCACTGGCACCGAGGGCGTCATTCCGTGCCACCAGAAGCCCTTTTTATAAAGCAGCAAGACAGATGTCACACTTCCTTTTTTAACTGAATAAGAGATCACAGGTGGGGATGAAGGTGTGGGATTTGGAATCAGGCTGCCAAAAGTAAACCCCCAGCTCCACCATTTAGTGGCCGTGTGTTTGGGGTCAAGTTGCTTCACCTCTTGATTCTTCTCATGCTAAGGCAGAGGCGACAGCATCTCCCGCCCACACACAATTACTGTTACCAGTAACTGAAACGACACCCAAGAAGCAGTTGCTACAGGTGCCTGGCACGTTGCTCGCATTCGGTAGCCGTTAATTCTGCCACTGCTTGCGGAAGGTATTTGTGGAACTTCTGTGCCTTGCCCTCATCTGGTGTTCATCCCCAGTGTGGCTGACTCAGCCTGTGTGGCCTTGTCTCAGAGCTGTCAACGTGAGGACAGCAAATGCTTCTCGGAACAGCTTTCTCTCCCAAGGAGAGGCATGTTTTTCTCTAAAGTTACATAAAACACTGGTTGTTTGCATGTGTCCTTTCATCTCATTTTTATAGAGACGCTGGTTTTTCCTTAGCCGAGACAGCTGCACACAGTACTGTTCGATGGGAATTCCTCGTGGCTTAAAGCCCTTCACGGAGAGAACACACACACACGTTCACACACGCACGCACACACATGTTCACACACACGTCCATACACACGTTCACACACTATTCCAATGATTTTTTTTTTCTTCAACCAGTGAATTTCCCTTTTTGCTCTTCCTGCCTCCTATATCAGCATATATGTGTTATTTAAGTTTATTTTTGACAAATAGACATCCAAGCTAGTTATGATAGTTCCTAGCTAGTACTCTCAGACGGTGAAGTCGGCTTCAATATCTTACCTAAAAACAGTGCATGGGGATATCTACAGTGGTGTTAACCAGTCACAATTGCATGCAAGTACGTATTCTCTTAAAGAACAAGAATAGATCAACTTTAAAAACTTTTGTTTTATTACATAAATAATGTGTACTTGAACTATTCTTGGAAAGTCAGATGATACAGGCCTAAACAAAGACATTCAGGTGGTTGGATGTCTAATTGATATCACAAATGCCTTTTACGCATTTATGATAAGTTGTTCACAATTCTTATATGATGCTTTCTCTTTAGGTAGACTTTCTCTATTGGTATCTATGTAGTATAAATTTATATGCATTTTTGAATTGGAATATGTTACAAGTCTCAGGTCTGATACATTTGGAGGCTAAAATTTCATTCATTCATTCACTGAACAAATCTGTTCTGAGTGCCTAACATATGCCAGGCCTGATCTAGGTTCTTAGAATATGGACGTGCATAAAACAGACCAAAATCTCAGCCCTCAAAGAGATTGCATTCTAGTAGAGAAAAGAGGCAATAAACATAATAAGTAAATTAGTTGATTCTATGTAGTTGCCAGGAAGTGATAAGTACTTGAGGGGATAGATAAAGCAGGGTAGTAAGGGTAGAGAAGGAGTCATCAGTTTTATCTAAGGGGGTCAGAAGGGCCTCTCTGAGAAGGTGTCATTTGAACAAAGACTTGAAGGAGGTGAGGGAGTTAAACACATAGTTACCTTTTGGAGAATATTCCAGGCAGAGGAGAAAACCAAAGCAAAGGCCCTTCATTATACGCATTCCTGGGATTTCCAAGAAAACAGTGAAGAGAATACTGTGAACAACTGCACATCAGCAAATTAATGTAGATGAAGTGGATAAATTCCTAAACACACACACCCCCCCCCGAAATTTCAAAAAGAAATAGAAAATCTCCACAGACCCAGAACAAGAGATTGAATCAGTAGTCAAAAACCTTCCAACAAAGAAAAATCAAGGACCTGATGGCTTCACTGGTGAACTCTACAAACCGTTTAAAGAAGAATTAATATCAGTCCCACTTACTCTTCCAAGAAATAGAAAGGGAACCTTCCTAACCCATTCTGTGAGGCCAGCATTACCCATACCAAAGCCAAATGATGCCCCACAAAAAACTACAGACCAGTACCTCTTACAAATAGACATAAAAATCCTCGACAAAATGCTAACAAACCAAATCTAATGGCACACCATTATACACTGAGCAAGTGGGATTTGTCCCAAGGTTCTTCGACGTCAGAAACTGAATCAGTGTCATAAATCACAGTAATCGAATGAAGGAAAAAAACATGACAAAATTCAACACCTTTTCATAATAAAAAACACTCAGCAAACTAGGAATAAAAGAGAACTTCTGTTATGTGATAAAGGACACTTATGAAAAACCCACAGCTAACATCATCCTCGATGGGGAGAGATCGGAAGCATTCCCCCCAAGATCAAGACGAAGACGAGGATGGCCACGTTCACTACCGCTTTTCTACTCTGACTAGAACTCCTAGACGCAGCGATTAGGCAAGAAAAAGAAACAGAGTCATGCAAAGTGCACAAGAAGTAAAACTATTTACATTTGCAGATGACATGATTCTGTCTATACACCTCGATTTAAAAATGGGCAAGTACTAGACATTTCTCCAAAGAAGATAGACAAATGGCCAAACAATCACATAAGAACATGCTCAACATCACGAAAGGAAATGCCAGTCAAAAGCACAGAGTTACTACTTCGCAACTACCAGGACAGCTTTCATGAAAAAGTCAGAAGCAACAGTGTCAGTGAAGATGTGAAGAAACAACGCTCATACGTTGCTAGTGAAAATGTAGAATGGCTCAGCCACTGTGAAAAATGAAATGGCAATTCCTCAAAAAACTTACACACAAGATTACCATGTGACCCAGTGATTTCACTTCTGGGTATACACCCATATACCCAAAGGAATTGAAAGCAGGGTCTCAGATGGCGTCTCTATATTCACGTTCGTGACAGCATTACTAACGATAGCCAGAGGGCACTAGCCGAAATGTCTGTCCGTGGATGAATGCATAGACAAATCAGCGTGGATACGGACAAGGGATGTTATTCAGCCATCAAAAGGGATGAAGTACTGATACTTGCTACAAGTTATGAGCCTTGAAAACATGATGTTTTTAGTATGGGAATTATATCTCAATAAAAACAGTTTTCTTTAAAGTGTCATTAATATTAATAATCCAGACATTTGAAATTTTTATTCTCAAAGAATAAGTTCTAGCACCTAAATTTTTAACATTGTATCATTTTAATATTTGACGAGAGCCGTTTCCAAAGATATCTTTTCTTTCTTAATGAACTTAGCTGGACAGCTCAGCCAGTCGGCACATTTAGCCCTCCAGCTGCCCTACAACGTACTTGGCTTGGGTCGAAGTGCCAACTTTCTTGACCATCTTTACGTTGGCATTCCCCGCCCATCTGGAGAGAAGGTGAGTAAAAATGTATTTTGTTTACAATTAATCTGTATTTTAATGTTGACTCTTCAGATATTTGAATTCAGTCATTTGTTATTCCCTTTTAAAAATTCAAACCTGATCGTAGTGACCTGTCTAAGCTTGTCCTACATAGAGCACTTCATAATTGAAGATACCGTTTTCTGCCACCTGTCCCATAAACCTCGCGACTTCCGGTCCCTCCGTCCTGCTCTTTCTCCTGATCATTCTCACTGTCTACCATACCGTGTATTTTCTTTATTTTGCTTATCGTCAGACTCCACCTCGCCTTTAATTTTAGGTCCAAGCAGCACTCGTACATGGCACTTTGAACAGCGACGACTACAGAAGAATAGACAATAAATATGAGTCCGTGAGACAGAAATATAATCTTACCCTTTAAGATCAAAAAACTTTTGCCGACAGGGCACAGGGGCCCTATTTGGGGCTTAACATATGTAAATGGAGCTTAATCCATTCCCAGGATTTCTGTTTGCTTGTTTGTTTGTTTGTTTGTTTATTCATTTATTTATTTAGAAGAACCGTGGTTTTAAAGTGTGCTGGATGGTAAATGTTCTTCATGCTTCTTGCAGTCTACACGGAAGCAGGAGTGGACCGCAATCATTCCCAATTCTCAGCTCATTGTCATTCCCTACCCTCACGACGTTCCGCGGAGGTAATGGCCTTGATTGAACTGAACTTGGTAAAAACAGTGTCAGCTCTGAATCACAGACAGTTACATCTGTTTAAAACTCCCTCTGGTCCTGCTGCGTTCCCGTGAGTGCCGTCACTTCATTTCCTTACGGCAGCTTAAATGACTAAACAAGTTTCCTGACACTTTCCATGAAGAACAAATTAGACCTGATTAGAAAGACAGCAGGTTGGCTAATTAGGGGGTTAAACATATTCTGCTTAAACCGATCTTCAGTTTACTAGCTAGAAATTCTAAAATTTCAGGACGCTGAATTTTTTAGTGAGCATGGAGCTTTTTGACAAAAGCTTGGACCGGTGGCATGTGTCTCACAGGGGTTGGAGACAGGCAGGCCTAGGTTAGCAGCTCGGACTCACCGAGACTGGGGACCGGTCCTTTGTCTGCATCTGTAGACTGGGGGACAGTCTGCCTTATAGGGGTGGGGGCGAACTACGCTCCACTCGGTGCCCGGCATGAAGTTTTCAGCGAACTGAAGGTATTTTTATCCTTATTAGCAGAATATGTCCCTTTCAAAATATAGCGTTTTCTCTAAATCCTTAGTTTCTCTCTGTTTATTTTTCTTTAAATTACCAAATTGATTCCATCTTTTTAAAAAAGTAGATGATGAAGGTATTCGCTAACATTAAATCTCCTTGGGAAAAAATATGTCCAACACGTTCTTAAGGCTAGTCTGATAGCAATACGAAAAATAACCAAAGAGAAGCAATGTAATGTGTCTACGAATGTGTAACCACTGGGGTCCTGCTCGTCACGGTTCTCCTCAAAATACAGGCTGTATTGTTCATTATTAAATTTTAGGTGGGATATATTCGGCAGTTTGCTAGAACCATCATGCCACCTCATAGCTGACTGCATCACTGAGGTCACATTGAAATCAGCTAGGATGGGCGTATTTATACCACAAAAATTGCCAAGTGCCAATCAGTTTGCTTTTTTCCCTCAGACACCACTGGATGTATTTTGTGGTGGATTGAGGGGCTTGAAAACCAAACTACTTAAGAAAACAACTTTATTGTAGCATTGTCCTTGAAATAAGATAACATGTATAGAAATAGTCTGAATTCACATTTTCTTAAATGAGGCAGGACTGTTAAGCTTTCTCTACAGGAAATTCATAACCAAACCAGAAAATCTGCACCGTGAGTAGAAAACTATAAATTATGATACATCTCTATGGTGCAATATCAAAAGATAATAAAAGGAAAATGCATGTACAGTATGTAAAATAATTTTTAAAAGATGGTATCTGTGCACGTTTATATATGTATAGATTACCTCCGGAAGGATATGCAAGAAACTGGTAAGAATGACTTCTAAGTAAGAAATTGAGGATTTGCCTTTCGTCTAATTTTTTTTCTTACCAAAATTCCTATGTTCATGGGTATTTTTTAACCCGTTTAAAAAGTCGAACAACCCAAAAAAATCTCATAAAAGAACTGTTTTTTAAGTATAAGATACTGAGAAGAGCTAACCTCAACTAATTAACAGTATTTGTTGTCTCACTCTTGAATTTCTGGAAAATTCCGTGATAGCATTCTTCCATAATCTCCACATTTTTCACGTTTCTCTCGCTCTTTCTGAAGAAATGTTCTTTTCGAATTTATGTACATAATAACAACCAAATTGATTTTAGTTTGAGGTGTGTTTTGAGATTTATTGAGTAAAGACTACTTAGGGATCAATAAATTTTAATTATCCCAAAATAAATCAGAATGCTGTTCCTCAGAATGCTCTTTTATTAAACTTTTAAAATGAAAATATATCCATTATATATTTTCAGGGAGAACAAAAAGTTATTCGTATAACCGCCTACACTGCTGCTGATGTAAACTCAGTTGTAGGCTCTTCAGGGTTTACAAGTGCTGTGGCACGTGGACTATCGTAGAAGAAAGAGCCAGTTCTATTTATGCTGAAGTCTGTGTATCGCCATTAACACTGACAGACTAGCCCTGCTCTGTAAGAAGTCTCAGCGTCACCGTAGTAATGTAGACCCTCCAACGTGGCACAGAAATGGTACAAGTTTTGCACAAACCACCTATCTACACCCACTCGGACATATGGTTGTGTTTTAGTCAGTCATAGGACATAGGTGGACAGGGACCAAAGCAAAAGATGAGATAGAAATCCTACCGAAGTCACGTGGCTACCTAGCCTTAGAGGTCAAGGTTTCAATTAAGCAAGTCAATCAAGATGTAGAAACAATGGCTAAGATCGTCCAGGGTGCCCGTGATATGTTCACCTAAGGACAGTTCTCAGGGGCTCAGAGAAGAACATCGCGTCGCATGGAAAATTCCATTTCAGTTCACTGAGTAAACTCTGAACTCTGAAGGATCCTAATGAATGGACGGACAGGTGAATGACTCTGAATGAATGAATGGATTCATTCATTAGTCAGCTGCTTTGCTTTTCGGTCTCAGTTACAACTGTGAGATTCTAAGTCTTCCGTTTTCATCTACAGCTGGAGTGCCAAGCTGTACCTCACCCCAAGCAACATCGTCCTGCTCACGGCCGTGGCTCTCGTCGGCGTCTGTGTTTTCATCCTGGCAATAATCGGCGTTTTACACTGGCAGGAAAAGGTTAGTACGTTGTGATGAAACATTACCTTCGGCTAATTGATAGTAGTACTATCCTGCTCTTTAAAAACAGTGTATTTTTAAACTTTTTTGACCTGACTAAGATTTTCTGATTTTTCAAGTTCTGTCCATAATGTCATCTTATCGATAACAATTTCTTTTATCCCTTTAAATTCTATGTTTCATAGCAGTTCATCCCAATCTGGATAAAAACTGTTTTAAAACTTGGATGCCATACAAGTTATATAGTCATCACCCAAAATCACCGGGTATATAGAAAAACTTAATTAGGAACACTTTCATAATGGCCTGAAAAATAATCATCTTTTAATGAGTCTGTGTTCGTCGTCTGCTGATAGGGCCGTGGACACTTTTTTCCAGGAATGACAGCTGTCCCCTTACAAAGGGAACTAGAGCGTGGGGAGGCCTAAGCGTTTCTCAGGGTTTCGGGGAGGTGACAGCTGAAGTAGGAGACATCTTTTCCACCCGTCAGGTGTCCTTAGCGCTACACTAAGCTGACTTCTGTTCCTTAGTATAACACCCTAAATAATAATTAAAAACAAAAATGTTTACGAGGAGGGAAAAAGAGGCTATCATATAAATAAATCAGTAGTTAAGGTAGAAATCGAAACGCTAATCTCTGCTGGCACATGAATATACAGTACGCAGCTGTCAGGCCCCTGCGCTGGTCCCCAGGAAGCTGTCAGGCCCCTGCGCTGGTCCCCAGGAAGCTGTCGGGCCCCTGCGCTGGTCCCCAGGAAGCTGTTGGGCCCCTGCGCTGGTCCCCAGGAAGCTGTCGGGCCCCTGCGCTGGTCCCCAGGAAGCTGTTGGGCCCCTGCGCTGGTCCCCAGGAAGCTGTCGGGCCCCTGCGCTGGTCCCCAGGAAGCACACGCTTTCCTGTCCCAGAAGCGTTGCCCTTTTTTGCACTTACTCCTCGTATGGCCACGCCCATCCTAATCTTTTTTTAACTAAAATTACCAGCAGTTTTATCTTAGCTATTTTAACTTATAAAAAAGAGAACGCGTTAATTGTTCTGATAAATGTTCATAGGTTTGTCTCTCCAAAAATATCGCTCCTTTCCTATAAAAAAATGCTAGTTTCATATTCAGTTCATGTTAAGACTGCAGCCTAAGAGGTAAGATCTCGGATGAGGACGTGTTCGTATCCAGAAGCATCAGCTCCGAGTCTGAACTATTACGTAGCTCTAGACCTGTGATGGCGAGTTTACTTCGCTTGATTTCTCAGGAGCTCTGAAGAGCAGACACACTGGGAACTCACCACAGCCCTGACGCAGCGGCTAAAAACTGAAGTTTCACCTCCGGATCTGGGGGCCTCCCGTGTGCGGGAATCCTGCCCACGATCTCGTCCCCCTCCCACGGCCCCTCACCGCACCTGCCGCAGGCCCATGTCACCTAGGTCACATGCCCCAGCCCACATCTCTGCGAGGGTCCCTCCCCCGTTTCCAGACCACGCACAGGCACTTTAAAACGGCCTCTGAAGCTTAGTGTCTCTTCACACTCACGTGCTCTTCACACTCACGGGCAAGATTCAGCCAGTGGCCCGCCCAGTGCCGCCTCCAGAACAGTCTGCGGCCCGTTCCCCTCCCCCACCTGGCTCCAGCTCAGCTGATCAGCCCGCCTGCTGTCCCCAGCCCCTTCCCAGGTTCCTCCACAGGAGGTTGAGCCTTCACCCTGCCACCCCTCTGCTCAAAAACCTCCAGTAACTGTCCCCTCCTAAACCACAGCACTCCCTGGGATGCCAACGCTCACCTGGCCCACCTGCCGCTCCCCAGGTGCTCCCCAGGGTCCCTGCTCCCGCCAGACTGCCCACGGTGCTCCCCTCCCCCCCGCTACCCCGTGTCCCCAAATACCATCCTTCCAGAACTTCCCTTTCCTCGCCTCCACTAGAAGTGACCCCTCAGAATGCTGGTAACATTTTTCACTTTTTACCCTGAAATAAGTTACTCAGTGTTTTGGCTTTTTCTTTCTAGGCTTTAAACTCCTTGAGAACTAGATAAAAACTCGGGGTCTTTTTATTCCCCCAAGCACAGTACTTTGCTGGGACCAGAGGGTCAAAATAACTATCTGCCAAATCTGTAGGTTAACCCCTAAATAACTAATGTACATTCACGTGAGTAATCTAGGCGCGTCTGTTGCCATCGGCATTACCGATGCCCCCTTGCAGAATCTTACTCGCAAATAAATACTAATCACAAACTAAGCTTTTAAGGAACACTTCTTGTTGGTTTTAAATTCATATTTCATAAGATTATTCCATAAAATCACACCTTTTATCAATTGTTGAGGACATTTTTAAATTAACCACTTTATATTTCAGAAATGGGCCTTTTCTTGAGATTTTATCATTTGCAAACGGGTCTACAATTCTTTTTCAGAAAGCAGACGACAGAGAGAAACGACAAGAAGCCCATCGGTTTCATTTCGACGCTATGTGACTTGTCTCTGTTACACATGGAGCCGCTAGTCACTTGAGCAACTGAAATACTGAATTTGGCTTATAGAAGAAAATAGGAGATTTTGAATATTATTTATAAATGATGCATCTCTTGGTAATTATTGGAAAGTATTCAAATAAATATGGTCTGAATGTGTCACAGGTCTTTTTTTTAAGTGCTTTGTGTACAGTCATCTGGGTTCTTTATTCACTGGCGCTGCACGCTTCTGTCCCTCTGTCGAATGTGCTGCACGTCCGCGGTGTCTGTGTATTTATGATAGAGTAACCGTGACGGGAAAAGGCACGTGTAAATAAAAATATTTAAATGAGCAGGGTTTTTTATGTTCTACCTGAACTGGCCTTGCTTCTCATTCTGACCCTGCAAATTACACGACTGTGCGTGTACCCCAGACAGAGTCGTGAACCCCTCACCTTCGCCACAGCGGGCCAAGGTCTCAGCAACAGCCCGCGACAGAGACTGGGTGCTGGGCCTTCGGAATCGCAGTCGGCCGGGCTCGCCTGACGCTCCTGGCTCCACCGCTCGCGAGCTGGTGGGCCCGGCTCATGGCTTCTCCGTCAGCCTCGGCCTCCTCGTGTCTAAGTTGTGATAACACTGCTGTTTGGCTGATTTACTGTAAACGTGAATCGGGACTGTGAGGTGCTCAGCTGAGCAGCCGGCACAGACTGTGCTCAGCGAGCGGGCGTGCCCATGACCACTGTGCTTAGATCATCGTCAGGAAAGACGCGACAGTTTCTTTTCAGGCATGAGGGAGCCACTTTCTTTGGAAAGCCTAAATTCTTGCTGGTTGACATTTTATGTAAAGATTTAGTACTCGCTCATATGAACTAAAAATGCTTACATTCTACCAAGAATTAATGTGCCCTAGAAATTCATTTGAACACTGACCCTTATCATGTGGTGCCGGAGAGCATCTGGTTCCTTGAAGGGGGACGCTGCAGGTGGCACCTGGGACGCGGACGCACGCTCACCGCTGTTCTCGAAAGCTGCTGGGCGTCTCTAAGTTACGTGCAGACTTCAGTGCAAATTTCTGTGGGCTTCATCTCACCAGAAAGTCGCTTTAAGACTTCGACCTAAGATCGGGAAAACAGTTCATATGTCAGCACTAATAACATTCTGATATGCAGATGAATGTGTAATGGCTATAAAATATAAAACCTTATCTGAAAAGTTCTGTCGTTCATGTCATTTTTCCTGTGCGGTTCGCTGAGAATGGCATGTGTATCCAGTGATTAGCTCTGCGTGTCCAGCATGTCAGTATGTCGTCGCAATAAATACTCTGTATTGGAACAAACTGTTTCGGTGAGTTTGTAAAGAGCTGTTTCGGAGCGTGAGAGGCTTTAGAGGTCGTGAGGTCTGTATCGTTGCTCTGGACAGCGAGGCAGAGGCCAGGCAGACGGGCACCGGGCACCTCCCGCCTGCGGTCCCCGGGGAAAGTCGCCAAGCCAGTCACCAGCCCAAGGCCCTGGGCCTGGAGACAGTTAGCCTCAGTGGTCATTGATTAATGTAGCATGAATATTAAAACTCACTTGGAGTTGGGGTCTACGACACAAATAAAATGTTAGTAACAACTTAAAATGCAATCAGCGACCTTATACTGTGTTTCCGTATTTCGATACGAAACGCCAGATGTGACATCAATATCATTTATTGAGGGCCAGCAGGTGAAAAACGTGTCACGACATCGAGAATCAGATACAAATGCCTTTATATTACCCTTGATTACTGTAGACTTTAAATCTCATAAAAGAGCACACGGCTTTGAGGTTAGACAAATCTGGATTCAGAGCCTACCTCCCATTTTTCAAATAATCGCGATCCACGGTTGGTTGAATGCGGAGGGCCAGCTGCCAGTGCAGTGGCCATGTGCATGGTGGGTGACAGCCGAAAACCGCCCGGATGCCACCTGTGTGGGGTTTCATGCAGTGAAGTACTGGACAGCGTGACAGCTAATGAAGGACAGCTATGCCTAACAGCACAGACTGACCTCGCAAACTTACGCAAAAAAAAGCAAGACAAAAAAATACAGCACGGTGCTAGTCACAGAAAGCTCAAAAACAGGAAAAACTACTGTAATTATGTGCATATTTTCAGCGGTGTGGGAGGTCGGTGCCCCCAATGCCCACCATAAAGGACAGAAATGATAGGTCAGAACAGCGAAGAACTCTTGGGAACTGGGATCAGGTACAGCACACGGGGGCTTCGGGGCGGGGGTGACGTTTTATTTCTGGATCTGGGTGCTGTGTACACGGCACTTAACTTTATAATTAAATTGTACAGACATCATTGTTTTAGGCATTTTTTCCAAATATGTATTATAGTTCACAATTTTTTTTAAATCTTAGAAAAGTTTCCCGAAGACCCCTTTGTAAATCACATATCTAGGACTTTCATTACAAATCTTAGATTATATATTTTGTAGCACAGAAATAGTTTGAGATTTGTTGCTGATAATCACAATAATTCAGATATAGCTTCTTGACAAATATGAGAGTTGAATGACACCGACATTAGGCTGAATATATGCATTTCATTGTACTGGTGTCAATAGCATAGGTGTATCAAGCAGCACAAATATTCACGGCCCATCAAGCCCTTAAGTTGAGTGTCTAAGGAAATTCTGTCTAGCAAACATTACCAAATTATTAAGAATTTTACACTTTAATATCATGGTTTCATATTGTACCAATAAACTAGCATGCATTTCAGCTTGTAGAAAACAGGTTTAATCATAAACATCTTTCAAAATGGAATTTTGAATGTCTAACCAATGTACTGTATACTCAAAACTAATAATAAAATGCTAAAAAAAAAGGAAGTTTAGCATTTAAGATACCATATATGTGAGCAATGTTACTGTAAAAAATATAATTAAGAGCTTTCTTAGTTTTTCACAGTCAAATGAAAGTAACTGGTGACCAGGAATTTTCCAGACAAAGCCGAGATATTCTAGTACTGGTTGTAGGCAATATTTCTTTAAAACTTTCTTTGGAACTGTGCTGGGCAGAAACCAGTGTAGGTGGCAGCGTTGCTTCCAGAACCAGTTCTGACTCCCTGCAGGCAGCTCTTCTCTGAGACCAAGGACACGGAATAATTTGAGTCCGTGAGCACATGGACAGAACTGTGTCCCCTCAAATTCCTACGTGGAAGCTCTCACCCCCCAGAGCACCTGCATTTGGAGACAGGACCTTTAAGTCTGTAATTAGGTGAGGGCGTAAGGGTGGGACCTGGACGCACTCTGATCGGTGTCCTCATGAGCCAAGGAAGACACAGCAGGAGTTGGTGACACGCAGAGGAGGGACCGCAGGACGACGGCAGGAAGTGTGCAGTCTGCGGGCCGCAGGGAGGACGCGCCGGAAAGAAGCCGACCCTCCTGACACTGACTTTGGGCCTCCAGCCTCCAGCACCGCGAAAAAGCAAACTTCTGTGGCTTAAGCCACCCAGGCTGGTATTTTGTTACAGCCGCCAAACCAGACTAATGCAGTGAGTTCAAAAACTAAGACTTTTCCTTCCCTAAAAAAAACCCCTAGAGTTGCATAACTGTGAAATCTTCATCCGTGGAGATCCTAAGTGAATTTGTTTTCCACTGAACTTCACCATCATTGTAGGCGTATCTGCACACACCAAGAAAAGCAGTGAGACGCTCCTGACTTGACAAGTAGGTTTTCTGCGCTGCGTTTGGGTTGCAGGTAAACTGTCTTCCCCAGGTACGTCCGCAGCAGTCCGCCCGGGGCCGCCGTGACGAAGCACCCCAGACCGGGCGGCTTAGGCATGTCGGTTCTCTGCGGTTCTGGAGGCCGGACGGCCTGGGTCAAGGCCATGGCTTTTCGGTGTCTGGTGAGGCCCCTCTGCCCAGCCCGCAGATTGCCGCCTGTTCTCCGAGACCGGAGGCGGCCGGGCCCCCGTGCCGTGCCCGCTGGTGTCTGGTCTTCTGAGGTCACTAATCCTGTCCGACCAGGGCCCCGCTCATAGGACTTCGTTACCCTCAGAGGCCCCGCCTCCCACACGCAGTCGCACTGGGGGCTCGGACGTCACCGTGTCCACAGCAATCTCTAAGCACACAGCCTGCCTCCCCCAGGCTGTCATTCAATAAACCGCTAGAGTTCCCGAACTCTAGCAAAAAAAAATAACAAAATGAGAGAAAGAAAAAAAAATCTGCTCGGTACATAAACACTGAGATAAAATGCTGCTTTTTTGTCACGGTTCATTCTAAGAGCAAGTCGATGTGACCCAGCACTGCAGAGCTGCAGGACACCCGGGCAGGGCACACCGTGCTTCCCCACGGGAATGCCTGGGGGATGGAGAGGCTCCGCCCGTGCCAGGAAGAGCAGGCAGGAGGCGACGAAGGCAGAGTCCTCAGGCACCTGGGGACAGGCCGGGTGCCACCGGTGCTCTTCCGGGAAGGTAATAATTCAGGTACGGAACTCCCCAGCTGAGAGCTATGCAAACGGCGTTCCTTTTGATTTAGTTAACATATGGCCACACAGTGGTCTCAGCCACGGTCTGTGCTGTACCAGTCCTTGGAAAAACCGGCTACGATAACACTACTTGAAAGGGAGCCACGAGATGATCATTTCCAAGCTATTCCTTGGGAATCTGCTCCCCAGCCAAGATGCTAGAGAAGAGACTTTCGGTTTCATCGAAATGGTGCTACCAGAGTCCCTCGGCTGAATGATAAAAAGCCCTGTGCATACCCTCCTGATGCCTACGGTCGCTCCAATCTCTCCCCATGCATGTCCTCGACTCCACTGCCAGATCATCCTCCCAGGACTCAGTACTCCTACTAAAAACGGAGCCTCTGGCCTCCCGAACCAAGCGCAAACTCCTCTGCCGAGCGTTCAGGGGGGATGTCCATCATCCAAGCCCGCCACAGCTTGACCTCGAACCACCCCCAAACACAACACTTGCCCCCAACGCAACGCTCACCCCTTCGGCCTCCTCGCCTCGCCTCTCGTCACCCGCAGCCTTTCCGTTGTCCGTGTGTCACCTCCACGAAGCGCTCGCTCCGATGACATCACACACACGGATTCTCCCTTCAATCCACGACGGTGCACTAAGAACCCGGTATGTTCCAGACGCAGGAGGGGTCGCCC